GAATTCACAGAACGTAGTAGATTCATATTGAAAAGGAAGAATTCTGATTGCGTAGAAGGCTAAAATGTTGAATTCCTAATGACTATGGAACTTGGCAGACTACATTTCACTTTTTTATTTAAATTGAGATTTGTGGTCACAATTCACTTGACACTCTAATCGTGGCTATTTGCAGAAAATTTACATTTATACTGCTGCGATAGAAAGAGAGAACAGCGAAATAGCATCCAAGCAGCACAGAGAATGTATTTATTCAATATGAAGGCCTACCAAGAGAAGGTTTTAATTCTTAAAAGTTTGAGTACAAGTTTAGAAATAACTACGTCATCAGCGTTACGCAAGGGCTATGTAACATAGATTAATCTAGAAATGGTCTCGAAAAGTTATTATTATTTTTAAAGAGAGGAAATACCCAAATTAAAAATAAGGAATTAAAAGCCTATTGCTAAATTGAATTATAAAATTGATTTACATATTTTTGTCTTAAACACACACATATATCTATATTAAGTATCCTAATAATGTCTAAATATAGACATATTTAGATACACGGATAATTCATTAGATTAATCGAAACTTCAGTATGGCTCCGTTTTGCATTTCTTTTCTTTGAAATGAGAGGTGTTGCGAAGGTGTATTTACGTTTGGCTCCGCATGTGATGCAAATTTGACCCAGTACATAAAGTGTCCTGCTTAGGTTGGCCTTCGGTTTATTGACTAACTGTCCATCTATCTTTATATAAAAGCTTATCCATAACAAAGCACTTCACTATGCTTTCAAGGTCGTTTGTATAGAGGTATTATCTACTCTTTCACCTGATACGTCGACTTATTTATCGTGCCAGTTCGTTTGACAGAAAGATGAGATAGGATTATTTCAGTATTCCAGTTTAATTATCAGAAAGAATAAAGTCGAGAAAAGAATGAGTCTTTCTTTCTCCTTGTACTTCCTACATTTCTCCATCTCTCACTTCTCCCTCCCCCCTCCAATTCTTAAGACTAGAAACTCGGTCTAAAAAGTCGTATTTCTTCATAATCAAAAACGGTAAAGATAGGTATTAAAATCTGGTAAAAATTCAAATCTGTCGACAAGTTGTAGATCTATAGCTCTGCTTCCCTGTTTATCGAAGATCTTCGACAGGATAATTCATCAAAGGTTCAGTGGATCACCTCATCAAAAGCAATCAGTTGGGCTTTAGACGGGGCTAAAATACAACCGTGGAAATCCCAAATGTTGTGGAAAGGATCGCTGAAACGTTTGCCAAAGAATAATCTGTAGCTGCCTGTTTCCTAGATAAGGAAAAGACATTTTATAAAATTTGACATCAAATACTGATTTATGAACTTGCAACAATCAAATTGTTTCTCAAGAATACTCAAATCTTATCGGAACTTGCCAGGTGTGTGTAGGAGACACACTTTCAAGCAAAACATTAATCTGTGAGGGCGTACCACAAGGCTTGGCTTTAGCTCCAGCCTTGTTTAACATACAAATAAACGATATGGCAGAATCCCTAATTTGCAAATTAGCCGAGTATGCTGATGACATGGTCCTGATGATGAAATCAATCAGGCTGCAACATGTCATTGACAACCTACAACTGAACCTAGCACAATGGTGCAAAATATGAAGATCAAACTAAATGTAAGCAAATTGAATGCCATTTTGTTTAGACGCTAGAAGAAAAATCACTTAATCACAGTTAATCTAAATATAAAATGCATTATCAGTTACTCCCAATAGTAAATTTAACTAAATATTTAGGCGTCATATTAAAATTTCAACTGATTTTAAAGAACAGATGATTTGTGAGTTAAACAAGGCTGATGCAGCTTTTATGGATATATACAGTATCATAGGAAGAAAATCTGGATTCGACCTTCGTGTCAAAAGAGCTTTACATCTCACTCATCTGTACAATTTTACGCCATACCTGTATGAGCTACGGCTTTAACTCTGACAGGAAAAAATTAAGAGTTTTTCAGAATAAGGTTTTAAGAGCCATCACATATGAGCCATAATTCATCACAATCCAGAAATTACATGAAGATCTGAAAATGCAACATGCAAAAGATTTTATTCTTTCAAACCCGCATAAACTTTTCAGGAAAATTATATCTTCAACTTATGACTACATTGTCAAACTTGCACACTGTGACCCTATGTGTAAAACATGCGCGCTTGAACAATTCACCTCAATGTGACATGCTAATTAATAATTGTGTTTGTATACAGAGTTTGAATACAGATAGTACTGAGTTTGTATACAGATAGTATTTTGCGTTCTTGAATAGCACTTCAGTCAAGACTAACCCAAATCGAAATTAGCCCGTCTTAAGCAATCCGAATCCTGTGGAAAGCAATTTTATGTAAAAGTTTTCTTACCTAAGTACCTAAAGCTACACCTAAGTTTAAAAAAAATCTAATGTGGACACCATAGGACTTTCTAGTACGAAATATTAAATTATACGCATTTTTTACTGGATTTCATTTAAATTTATTTCCTAGAATTTCATTAGAGACAGATTTTTCATTCGATTAATTCAGTTCTCACTTCCCGATAATGCAAAAATACATAGAACCTCAAAATGTCTTCATTAAAAATTGAAAAATATAGAAAAAATAAAACAACACCAAATGCAGTTAAAACAATTTTTACAATTAAAATTAAAGTTTCTACGCAAAAACAAGCAATTCGGCCAGCAGACAACAAGGCAGATTTTTTCGGTACACACAACTGAAAGTTTACTTTTGGTCCCATTCGGCAAACAGAAACTGACCTAATTCACTGTTTTGCTAAGTTTCAAATGTAAACAAATATGGCTGCTATGGTAAACAAAAATTACTCTTAGCCGCACTTAAAGAACTTTTAAATTGTTATAAATTCTTCAATTATTGCGTGCGGATTAACTAAAGACATAAAACCCTTAACCGGAAGGTAAGAATAACATTATGTAATTATTTTAAAGCAAAGAATGCACAATTAAGCAATTTACTAATTGTGCATTCTTTGCTTTAAAATAATTACATAATGTTATTCTTACCGATTGCAACTAAAAAAGGAGGTGCAGAACTACATGATATAGCATTCATTTATGAATTTTAAATAGCTTCATGCTTACCTGTTAGGCAATATTATCAGAAATATATTCTATAATAAAAGGTAACATGCTAAAAAGAATAAACTCAAGTACAACCTTGGTACAATTTTTTTTAAGACTTCTCCATCAAAACCCATAGGTAGAATGCTCTCTCGCAATATATATCGTTTGAGGCTTGTTTGTTTTTGATGCTGCCAAGTTTTACTATGCAAAAGTGACACTAATTTATTCTAACAGTTATATATACACATTGTTACTTTTTTCATCTTGTTTGAAAGCATTTTAGTAAGTAAAATGTTTTCTTCTCTATATGAGATTTGTTCAGGATGAATTTCAAACATATTACGAATTCGAGTGAAATTATCTTAAAATCATAGTTTAAGATTTAATTCATTTATTCTAATTATTATTTTAATATATATCAAAATTTATATCAAAATCACGTTGTAACTAGTTTAACCCTTAGCGCTCCGTTGGCTGCGCTACGGAGCCGTCCGTCATTTGTTCCGTAACTCCGTAGGATCCGCTGCGGAGCCCAATGTTTTAGCATTATTCGGCTTAAGGTGTTAGGAATCGTCGGCGTTGGCATAGCTGTAGTAAAACGTGCTCTGGGTACTGTTCGATTGAAACATTTTTGACCCATTTTGTGGTTAGCAACATGGAAAAAATAATTATTGTGATGAGAATATAGAATTGAGTGATGGTGAATGTGTTTGATTTTCATTGTTAGAAATATTGTGGAAAACAGTGTTGATTAATTCTGACACTTCAAGTACTGGTCCGAAATTATACTACCAAAGACGACGAATGGAGTTATTGAAAGTGAAAGCGAAGAGAGTCGCCGGAAGACTTAGAATGGCGCGATATCACGGAAAAATTAGATATGACGGTCGAATGCATTTTGTGTATCGCCAAAGGTCATTGGACCACAAATTCCTACAAATATTGTACAGCCGACACAATATTTCAAATTATTTTTCACAAACGAACTGGTAAATGAAATTAAAAAAAAAAACTTACAATTACGCAGAAAATGTTCTAAGAATAAAGAAATATCTAGTAATTCTATTTTGAAAACGTGGCGTGCGGTGGAAGAAGATGAGTTTTGGGCTTTTATTGGAGTTATTATCAATACGGGTACGATACCCCTGGCGAATATGCAGGATTATTGGTAAGTTAAGGAGAATAGTTACATCTCTTTCTTTGGTAAAATATTTACAAGAAAAAGATTTATGCAAATATTCTGGATGCTGCATTTAAAAACACCGGATCCTGCGAAAATGTGCCGGAGTTGCTGGTAGGCAGTGGTACAAAAACGTGCGGAGCGCTAAGGGTTAATAATCCAATTTATCTTTTGACTTCAGACCAACTTTGACGATTTGTAATTTTTTTTTGAAATTCTCCTTGTGAAGTGTCAAAGTTCGAACTTAGACAGTTTGGAATCCTTTGGTTCACTTGGCATGAAAACCTTCCAGTTTTTCATATTTGAAAGTTGCTATGCAAGTGGAATGACGGAACGCATGTGATAATCAAGTGCTGTGTGCTGTATCTTGTTACAAAAAAATTAAAATAAAAATTTATTAAAGACGAGTAAGCTGTTTTTTATAAACAGAACATGTTCTATATTTGATTCCCAGTGCTTGTTATGTCGATAGCTAAATTCTTAAAGACGTGAATGCTTTTAATCCCTGATTATTGACGAAGAATTAATATTTCTTTCATAAGAAAAAAATAATTCGAAAAATATTCTTAATTTTTACTTAAACAGAAATTAGCAGTTCTTAATAAACAACCGCCCCCAACATGTCGACCTTCCTTTCTTTTGTTCAATTCAAATTTAATCAAATAGTGATAAAACTACGAATCGGAAATAACGTCATCAATTTTGTTCCTTCTTATCTTAGGTGCAAGAGAAGAATTTCCATCTAATATAGGAATTAGAACTACATTTGTGTCACCGCCCGAAAATAATCCATCCTCAACGTAGGGATTTGTTATATTTTGCCTACAGACACAGTGAGTATGAATATATACATTTTTGTAACTGTTCTTTACTATTGACATTATATATTTTCTTTTCAAAATGATTGAAATTTGTGGAAAAGGTTTTGCCTGTGATACTTTTTCATTCCATTAAACTATTTCATTAAAAATGGTACCTATTTATGCATTTTTTATTCGTTTATTATTTGTATATTTGTATTTCTCTATGTAATATAAACTGTGATAATTATAATTTTTTAATATAGAATAATAAACAGCATTTCAAGTCTTTATTTTCACCATAATACGGGATGAATTTTAACTAATGTTATAATTTAACGAATTCTGAAAGCTTTCAGGTTTTATATTATGCCAAAAGGGACTTTTTTTACGTTTTGTGTGTTACCTTTACTTATTAAATATTATGTTCTTCTCACTTAAACCATAACATTCATTTCAACAGCAATATCACAAAATATTTAAAAAGAGCGAATCTTTAGAATTTACAGTGTCTCGCGCGCTGGAGATAATTTTTTTTTTTTTTTTTTTTTTTTTTCCCCCGTACAGTGCTGCCATCGCTCGCTTTGAAATATTTGAGTTTGTTAATCAAAATTCGTTAAAATTTTACAAAGCAGGAAATAGAAAATAAAACGTATTTCAAATTTGGGTTTCCAGATGCCTATATTCCAGAGAAGGATTACATTATTCAAAATTTGATGCCTCTAGGTACCGTCGTTTCTTCGCAATGCGAAAAACATACATACATTTACGCAGATTCTTTATTTAATTTCTTTAAATATAATGCAGGGCTCTAATATTTGGTGGCAACAATTTGAAAAGGGAAATGACGTTTATAGCGGACGACACAAAAAGGCAAAACGAAATTAATAGCTGTTCTGAGCAAACTGCTCCTTTGGGCTTATAATATGTAATTTTTTTTCTTTCAGTATTATTATTATTATTATTATTATTTTTGTCAACCTTTACACTAAATAGAATTTACGGAAATCTATTAAGAGTACGTTTTAAAAATATTAGTATCTGGCAGACTGCCGCCTTGTTAGCCTCGACTTGAGATATTTTATTGAGGAATTTTCTGCAATTTTTGTCAAAATTTCAGACCCCAACCCTTGAATAGCTCGTCTATGAGCCTTTAGAACATTGCATGGTTCGTAACTTATGTCTGTACTCTTTCCTTTTAACTATCCTTGGAGAGTGGAAAATTGAGAGCTTATTTAAATCTGACTATCAATGACAGCAATTAAATTTCAAATATCGAAAAACTAAGTGAGTGCCAAAACTTTCCTCTCAGGTGAGCCATTATGCTTTCGTGGTCACCTTCGAATAGCTAAGTCATCGGTTTCCTCTTCAATACCCTTTGTAAGGCTATTTATTAAGACACAATAACACGCCGAATAAATACTAATTCAGAAGTCAAACAACAAAAATCAACAAAATTTTCACAGGACTAGTTTCGATGGTTTTACCGAACCACCATCCTCAGCTGCAAAACCGCAAATGAACAAGATAGGAAATAATGATTAGATAAGATAAGAAAGCCTGGACAAGAATAAGGAAGTGGCGCCATCTGTTGGTGAAACCAGAACTAAAACATAATTTCTTTAAAGGCCGAAGGCAAATTGGATTGGAATTAGGATCGTTAACTAGAACAGAAAGATTTTTATGAATGTAAATACCTCTATAAAATCCTCCAGTTCTCCAATGGAAGATGTTTTTTGAATAATTTTGGCAGCAGAAAAATTGAAAGTGTGATTTTCGGACCAACAATGTTGAGCAACAGAAGACTTCTGTGTTTTCCTTTTTTCTAACATATGCCTCATGTTCCTTCCCGCGAAATTTTAAGGCTCTCTTAGTTTGGCCATGTAAATTAAACCCGCACTGGCAAGGAATCCTATAAATACCCCAGGAATTCATATCCGGAATGGGGTCCTTGAGTATGGAACTCGGAATTTTATTGATGGAAGAATAAACAACCCGAAAATTAAATTTCTGCAAAATATGTGCAACTTTATAGCTAATTGATGGAAAGAAGGGAATGACAACAGAGTTTTTATAATCTCCTAAAACAAGAGTGTGCCTTTTAGTCTGTTGAGATGAGAATTTTTTAACTGCTTGATTAATAATGTTGGGTGAAAAGCCCCTGTCAATAGCTATTGCTTTTAAATAATTTAGTTCTTCATCAAGGGCTAGTTTGGACGAGCAAACTTGAAGAGCACGGAAAACATAGGTATAAAATGAAGCTAACTTTTGTTTAGTCGGATGACACGATTTAAAGTGTGGTGGAAGGCAAACCGATGAATGTTTACGGTAAACCGTAGTACTGAAGTTGGATGTGTTGTGTTACGTGTGACCAGAATGTCGAGAAACGGAAGAGAATTGCAAGTCTCAAGTTCAAAAGTGAACTGAATAGCAGGATCAATAGAATTCATTGTTGAAAGAACTTTATTTAAATCATCTTTATTACCTTCAAACAGGGTAAAAATATTGTCTACGTAGCAGAATCAATGCCGGGAAGTTTAAAGTTTCAAACATTTTTGATTCTAATAATGCATGTAGATTCAGCAGGATGGGACTGAGGGGGCTTTCCCATGGCAATCCCTCAGTTTGCTTGTAATATTTTTTTTGGAAAACAAAATGTGTTTGTTTCAAACAGAGTTGAGTGAGAGAATTAGCTCATCAATTTCGATGCAAGAGAAATGAAATTCGCGAAGTCTGGTTTCTAGACATCTTAATGCACCCTCCACTGGGACATTGGTGAATAATGATTTTACATCAAAAGAAACCATGAGTAAATTACTAGGAGAAATGTTTTTAACCTTTTTTACAAACTCTATTGAATTTTTTATGGTGTAAATGTTATTGTCTATTAGAGTTGAAAATCTAGAAACTAAATATTTAGCTAATGGATACGAGGCAGTACCTAAATTTGATACAATAAGGCGGAAAGGAATACCACTTTTATGAATTTTGGGAAGAGCATATAATTGGCACAATTCGCAACAGATGGGATAAGCGAATGTTTTAAGTTGCTTGAAATGATTTGCGAAGATTTGATCGCAGTTTTTATTTTTGACAAGTCCGAAGGTGAAGTATCTTTAGGGATCGGATTATATGGTCCTTCGTTTAAGAGTTTAGTGACACCATCGATGTAAGTGTTCTTATCGATGACGATTATCTGGCCACCTTTGTCGGCCTTTGAAATGATAATATCCGGCTTTGAATGAATTTCGCGCTTTGTAGCTCTTTCTCTCGCAGTTAGATTTGGTTTCAAAGGTTTATTATTGAATTTCACATTATGAGCGATAAGATGCCTAATCATAGCAAAATAATCCACTTATATAACACTATTAGCATAATATAGATCCAATTATAGAGTTGGCTGTGATAGTACCCTGTTTTGCTGAATATCACTCCACAGCAGGCATTTAAATTCTAACTTTTATATGTATAATGTTTAATTTAATTGATTGCGTTTTTAGTTTAATATGTATGTAATATATGCTTATGTTTACCAAATAAGTAAATATTAGTAATAAAATTTTCAATTTTATAAAATAAACTCATCTTTTTCATCCAATATCTTACGAACGCAACTTACTCTGTGATTGACAAATATACTCGTCATGGCTGGATTCTGGCTACACGAAACGGTGCGCACTCTTAAACGAGGGCGCCACAGTTAACTGGTTACCAAACACTTTTGGGCGACTTTTTTTTTTTTTTTTTTTTTAAACGATGATAGCCAACTTTCACTGTCGGCCTGACAATACCCAATTGGGTTTATTTCTAGTGTGAATTGTACGCCTCTTTTTTTTTAATGTGTATTTGACAAGATTCATAGCGACGAACTTAAGTTTTAAATTTTTCCAGAGTTTTATTAGTCTAGAGGGGCAATTTGCCCAGGAGGACTATTAATTTCGTTTTGGCGTTTAGCGTTGATTCACTTTTCAAATTGTTGCCCCAAATATTATCGTACTGTATTATATTTAAAGAAATTAAATAATGAAAAATCTGCATTATGTATGTTTCTCGCATTGTGATAAAACGACGGTACCCAGAGCCATCCACTTTGAATAACGTTATCCTCCGGCGAATATGGGCATCTGGAAGACCAAATTTGGAATTTGTTCTATTATGTATTTCATATTTTGTAAAACTTAAACGAATTTTTGTTTAGCAAACTCAACGATTTCAAAGCGAGCAATGGCAACAATAGGAAAGCACTTTTATCTCCAGCGCACGAGATTGTACCGGAAATTCTAGATACCCTTATTTTCAAAATTATTTTGCGATGTTGCTGTTGAACTGAGTTTTATAGTTTAAATGTGAAGAACATGATATTTAATAAATAAAGTTAATGCACAGAAAGTTAAAAAAACTCCCGTATCAATGCTCAGTTTCCTTACTAAAAATGGCTTTAGAAACCTTTTTTTTTTTTTTTTTTTTTTTTTTTTTTCTTTTCTTTTTAGTCCAAAGGGGCTTGAAGGACTATTGTTTTAGCATTTTGCGTTGGTTCACTATACAGTGGTGGTCAAAATTGTGGTAACTTTTGGAAATTTTTATGTTTTTGAACTTTGTATGCTTATAGAAAATGTTACGTTTCGCAAAATGCAAACTTGTATATATCATTTTAAAGAGAATTTATTACTGAATTCAATACAAAACACAAAATTCAATTATTTGGAATACAAAAAAGTTATGTGTACTTTAATATAAATAAAAAACACAGTTATGAAGTGGTTTGTAATGTCAAGCTTTCCTGGCCAATCACTGTTCTTGTTCTGAGAACCAATCAAATGTTAGTAACTGCCAGTAGAAGCTGACATCATGTTTACACTTGAAACAATCCATTATTTTGCTTTGTTCTGTAGAAGGAGGACCTGTTTCTTATACACTGCAATTACAAGTAGGAATTTTTGTAAAATTTTTTAATATTTAGTCAAGAAGCAACGGCATGAAATAAAAGAGTAGATTGGACACCTAGAAAGAAATGTAATATTTTGTGTTACGAGAAAGTGGTCTTTCCTATGCTGAAATTGCAAGACAGTTGGGTTCAGTGACTACATCTGGAGTCCGAAAGTTTAGTTTACGATATCAGGAGACAAATTCAATAAAAAACAAAGAAGGAAAAGGCCGATAAAGGTGCACCACATCTATTGATGACAGAAGAATGAAAAGACTATGTCTCCAAGATAGAAAAATGTCATCAGCGGCCATCAGAAGTGATCTGAATGATGCTGGTGTTTCTGTCAGTTCAAGAACAATCAGAAGAAGATTAACAAATGTTGGACTGAGAGGTAGAACTCCACTAAAAAAGCCTTATCTTAATTTTCAGCAACGAAAAAAAAGGCTACAGTGGGCAAAGGAACGCGTTAATTGGACAGATGATCAGTGGTCACAAGTTATATGGAGTGATGAAACTAAGATATCGTTATTCGGTAGTGATGGGCGAAAATATGTAAGACGTAAAATAGGAGAAGAGCTACATCCTGACTGCATTCAAGCAACTGTGAAGAACCCAGTTAGTGTTATGATTTTGTCATGCATGTCAGCAGATGGTATTGGTCGCCTTTATGTCATCGATGGGACACTGAATGCCAGAAAATACATTGACACTTTTCTAGAACCAAAATTCTACCTTCCATCAGAGATCTCTTTCCCCAATGGCTTCGTTTATTTTCAGCAGGATTCTGCTCCTTGCCACACAGCCAAAATATCGAAAGAGTGGTTTCGTACAAAGAGCATTAAATTGTTGTCGTAGCCAGGAAACAGTCCTGACCTCAATCCTATCGAAAATTTGTGGAACCGTTTGAAAACTCTTGTCCGAATGAGGCGCCCATCAAATAAAAGGGAACTAATTGAGGCTATAATTGTTTCCTGGCATCATATAATAACGAAAGAAGAGCTTAAAACTCTTGTCAGCTCAATGAAACGTCGATGTGAAGCTGTAAACAAAAATAAAGTGTACCCTACTAAGTACTGATAACTCACTGCAATCATCACTATCTAATGTATATCGATAACTATTATTGTTTAACTTTTTTGTATTGCAAATAATTGAATTTTGTGTTTTGTATTGAACTCAGTAATAAATTCTCTTTAAAATGATATATACAAGTTTGCATTTTGTGAAACCTAACGATATAAGCATACAAAGTTCAAAAACATAAAAATTTCCAAAAGTGTCCACAATTTTGGCCACTACTGTAAATGTCCGTTTCATTTTTCAAACTGTTGCCACCAAATGTTAGAGCCCTGAGTTATATTTGAAGAATTTAAATAACGAAGAATCTGCGTGTATGTATGTATGTTTTTCGCATTGTGAAAAAACAAGGGTACCTAGAGGCATCAAATTTTGAATAATGTAGTCCTTCTCTCGAATATGGGCATCTGGAAGCCCAAATTTGAAATTTGTTTTATTATCAATTTCATATTTTGTAAAACTTTAACGAATTTTTGATTAACAAACTCAAGGATTTCAGAGCGAGCCATGGCAACGTTGTACAGAAAAAACATTTTTATCTCCAGCGCGGGAGATTGTGTATCGGAAATTCTAAAGATATTGCTCTTGAACTGAATTTTGTGGTTTAAGTGCGAAGAACGTACTATTTAATAAATAAAGGTAACACGTAAAATGTTTAACAAAAACGCCTCTTTGGACGCAATTTAAAATCTAAAGCTTTTTATTTTTAAGTTTTTGCTCTTTTTGTCTCTGTTTTAAGGTAATTTATAATCACGTAATTTTTATTTTTCCCGTTTTCATATTTTCTTTTATATGTTTCAGGTTTTCATACTACTCTATAGAGTGCCATAATGCAACCAGGTAAATATATTATTTGCTATATTATTATAATATAAATATGATAAGTCTGTCCCTTCTCAAAAATTCCTCAGTCTTAATGAAAGAAGTGAACGCGCATCTCCACTTAAGTGTTATTGGGAAATCAAAGGAAGGATTTTCTAATTTGCAATATTTGGGTAAAATTACTAATTAGTAAAATCCTTGCAAAGTAATAATGTTATTTTGAAGCAGAAGTGAAAAATGTATAATGCCCTCACCTGGACTCAAACCTGGACCTTTCGAATGCGCGCCGAGTGTTCTACCATTACCCTCGAAGGCATGCTGGAAGGAAGGAGAAAATACCTTACATAACCCCTTTTTTAGAGGGAGACTCGGAAATAGGGGACCCAATAGCCAAATCGTGGTGGTGACGAATTATTCTTCATCACCCTTTAGTTTGGTTGCCACTGTAGAGTCATTAGTATATTTTGGAGCAAGAGACCGGAAAAATGAGCGATGCTCTCACCCGGACTCGAACTTGGACCTCTCGAGTACGCACGGAGTTGCCACCTTTACACTACGAATGCATGCTGAAAGGAGGAAGAAAATACCTTACAAACTTTAAATTCTACATATCAGTATTTATCAAGTAATCAGACTTCAGACCATGAAATAGAAATTCTGGTTTTAGGACACGAAGACTTCAATATCATATAAGCCTTCTTTCTGGGTGTTATTACAGCATCGCGGTGTCTTGGGAAACAGATACATATCTTGTGTAATAGCTGAAAGAATACTATCCCGAAATCTATTCTATGATCTATTTTTCTGGAAAAAATATTGGCTAATTCTTTGCAAAATGTTGGTGAAAGATGGCATGTCCTATATTCCCCCTGCTCCCACAAAATATTTCAGATCGTCTGCAAGGAGTGGTGACCACTCGGGCTTGGTTTGATAATGGGCTAAAGAGAACTTTTTAAATTTCTTAAGGATCCCATATAGCACCGGGATGCTCAGTAAAGGGAATCTGCATCATCTCCAAGGTGATTTTGGCGTGAATATCACCCCTTGCTGAAGAGCATATAAGCATTCTGTACCGCGCTATGCGCATAGGGAAAAATCCCTCCTGGTGATTGGGTATGGCTTCCGATGACATCATTTCCTCTACGTTTGGAAACGCCTTGACTTTGCTTGGGTTCAAGGGTACACCTTCATATTGTTTGTTTACATATATTTTGATAGCAGTACCGAAAAGATTATAACGTGAGTTCTAATTTTTTTTCCCTGCTACGAGATTACACTTATTACAACACTGTAGTGTGGAGAATTTAATATAAAAAATGTAGTGATTTTCTTCTCCCTAGAGAGAAATATTATTTCTTCTTGTGGTAATCCTTAAATGTGTATTAATATTAAGTGTAGAGATTTTTAAAAGTGCATTCTTAATTTAAAACCTTTCATATTAAAGGCGTTGCGATTATTCATTAATTATTTCATGTTCATTATATATTCATTCTCTGCTGATGCAGTCTGCGAAAGCATGAGACAAGTCAGTTTTCGGAAATAGCGAAAACAACTTTGGGAGCTAACATTACACAAGTATACAATAGTTATAATCAATCTGAAAAAGTAACATTTATTTTTGAAGTTAGACTAATATAGATTTGGAACACAGAAATAGAGATACGTATTTTAAATTGAATAATATTGCTTTATGAGTATTGCCTATTTTTAATGTGTAATATCTTTTGTACCTTTGCATGAAAATAATATTTGTCAGAGAAGGAAGTTTCGTTTCTTATACACGTGTATTTAAATTCAGCGACAGTACTAAATGCCCTTTTTTCTTTCATTTAAGGCATGGTTGTCTAATCTATGACCGTTTGAGAACCGCATTTCAAAGGGAAAAAAATTTGCGGGGCCCAACATATAATACTTTTTAACAAACTGAAATAAAAATTAGCTCTATGTTGTTTTTATTAAAATTAATTAGCTTTGTAGAGACATTAGGATTTTTTTGGAGGGAATCGAACCTTCACCGAGAATTGAACCACGGACCTCTGAAATACCACCGGCTCAGTGTGCTGACCACTACACCACGAAGGCACGCTAGGTAGGCGGGAGAAATATCATATATACTTCGTCTTTTAAAGGGCGACTGGGAACCCTTTTAGTTCGGGCGCTACTGTAGAGACACTAGGATTTTTTTGCAGGCCGGAGAGATGAAAAATTAGCAAACGCCTTCGCCGGGAATCGAACCACGGACATCTGAAATACCGGCTCAGTGTGCTGACTACTACACCGCTAAGACACGCTAGGAAGGCGGGAGAAATGCGTTATAACTTCTTTTTATTATTAATTTTTTTAATTTGAATTGGGTATGTATAGGTACATATTTATTAATTAATTTGTAAAAGTTTCGTTTCATTTAGTTTGGATTTTACAAAGATGGAAAAAATTCGAATTAATTAGATGGATGAATTTGCTTTTGTTGAACAAACAAATCGATATAGGGTTCAATAGACGAGGTTGCATATTTTTGTGTGTTGTATGCTTCATTTTTGAAAATAATTGTTCACAAATATAGGTACTCCCAAAAGCTGAAGACATTAATAAAGCATGATTGTGAAAATATGATATTTATCGCGGCGTAGGTAATCTTTATAAAACTCCAGTGTAAAAAAAAAAAAAAAAATGAAATTTTTCTTTCAGTTGAACGTCACTTTGCAGTAAATACATCATGACATATTAAGATGTTTTTATTTAAATTTTTATTTTAAAATAAATGCCAACGAATAAATATGTGTAAATTTGAATACTTTCATGATTTGCGTTTGGGCCGCAGACTTTCGGGCCTTACTTTAGACACCCATGATTTAAGGCAACAGATATATTAGAACGGCATGGACATCAACATGGAAATAACAAAATATTTGCAAAGGAAATATTTCTGCAATGTGAAAGAAACGATATGCAACAAAATTGCAATAATAATAAAACACTTACTGGCGCATAATGCTTTTACAGTTGGATCGAGATCATCGTGTTTTGGATTTTGCACTGAATTCATTCAGCTATTTATATAATCTTAAGCATTTAAGATTGCTTCTGATAGTATCAGCATCTTTGAAAGATTTTATAATTTTATTTTTGCGTGAAACAAGAAGCCATTTACAGAACGCTGCTGCTAAATGTTTTCAAAGAAAACAAACGATAATTTTCAGGTTTCCTTGTCACTCATGCCTGTTATTCGATGAAAACAAAACCGTAAGAACCCCGCCTAAACGTCATTACGCTAAGAGAAAATAATGTCATCTGAAAGTATGTGCAATTACCATTATGTATTTTTCCTTATGTCCGTGCCGTGGTATAGGATGATTATATTCCCCCGCATATGAGTGATTTCAGCTGGGACTATAGCACGTGTAGTTGCTTTCAGTTGCAAGAGCACGTAGACAGTTTGTTGTTATCTTCGTATAATCCGTGTTAGTACCTGCATGCACCTTTCAGACAGCTTCATCTTACACCGACAATTACTATTATTGGACGTTATTCAACCATTTCTGTGATTAACCAACGTAACTCTGCATACTTCGACTCCCGATACTCTAGAAAGACTTGTCTTGGTCGCACAGGGCGTTGACAAGATATGTATCAAAACTCTGTCCTCTTTTAAACTGGCTAAACGTAGAATTCTACTAATTGCTGATATATTGCTCTGTTATATCAACCCTCTCTTTTTTCCTCTTTTTGAATGCCAAATAAATGAAAAGAAGAGCTGCAAGGTAGCATGTCCTTCACACTGAAGTAAGTGGTGCAGCTTTCATTCTATGGCGCAAGTGCTAACTATTCAATGCCTACGCTTCAACGCCTCATTTATCGAAGACTCCACGATATGTCGAGTACTGTGGATTCTATTCATTTCTTTAGCTTTTCTACAGAGCGGGCAATTTGGATTTGTTAAAATGTCAGTGTAGCGTAGATGATTCGTTAGACTCTCATGTCCAGCAGCAAGTCTGAATAATTCAACTGTTCAAAGTTTATCTATTATATTAAGGTTTGGTTTATTTAATTATGGCAAAGCACACTAGAGCTATCTGCCTAAGGGGAGGGATGCCTTCATGGAGGACTTTCTAAGGGAATCTGACTCGTATACACGTTACACATGTGGAAAACCACGAAAACGCCCATGCAGCCAGCCCGTTCCCGGGATTCGAACCTCGGGCTGAACTACCAGTGTTCAGCGACTTTTACCGCTCGGCCGCTGGTGGGCCGCTATTATATTTAAATTAAGAGATGTGTTTATCATTAAGGGAGTTACATGGATGCAAGTAGGCAGCAGATATTGACGCAACTTTTTTTTAATACATATACAACAATAACAAAAGGATGCCAGCAGTTTTATCAATCGCATGGAAAACTCGCTGGTCATAGGGGTGTTAAAAGCGGATGTGTTTCTTCAAATGTATTTTCCCCGTTTCGTGTCTCGTATGAATTTAATGTCTGCTGTTATTTTGCTTTTCTATACCGATCCCTGATGGCATGATATAATTATATGTCAAATTTCGTGCAAATGGGTATAAAAATCCAGCAGAAATGTTATGAACGGTCTCGAAATCAAACAAGGTGAAAAAAAGAGAATTGGGTACCATTGGTTTAAAGGGGAGGATTCCTAAAAAAAATGCTCCGCTGAAACGAAGTCCCGCCTAGCTACGGAAAAGACGTCCCAGCTACGTCGGATATTTTGAAACTTCAACGAAAATGTTCCGCCTGCAGCTATGTCCCGGGTAGAGATCAACCAATGAAACGAAATATCTGCTTCTAAAGGATCACGTGATTCCAATCTGAGCGATAATCGATCACTATTTGGCATTCAAATCTGTTTAGTAAGTGGAAATGTTAACCTAGCTACGTAGGTTTCGTGGAGATGTGCGGGTTCTGAGAAATGTGTCTTTTGACATCCAGTTCCGCATAGCGAAAGCATATGGGATAAGGACTTTAACGCACAGCTCTCAGGAGTTTCCTTCAAGATTACCTGGGAAGTGATTGTAAAGGTGTTGGATTGGAGGACGACCCAGTCCCCCTTGTCAATGATCAATATAAGTCAACCTTATGACCAATATAGGTCGCCCTCGATCATACCAAGCTTGTTAATAAATAAGAAACATACAAAAATAAAACACAAACATACAAAACAGTAAGACAAACAAAGCATCAGATCTAAATTTTTTTCTGGTAAACTTCACATTAAACCAATAAGATCTTTCAAAGACTAACACTCCACCCTTTTAAAACAGTTTTAAAATCAAAATTACATTAAAGCGTTTAAAATCTTAAAATCAAAACAACACAATTTCATTTACTATAAAACATACGAAATACATAATATTCAACCAAAATAACTTATTTGCAAACCTTACTTCATAATACTATGAAAATATATTCCTGGTTTAAGATCAGTCACACAATAACAGGACAATAATAAGTGTGAAATAACAGGACCTAAAAGTGCTAAGACTCCATCAGTGGCCGAATGGATGAGTCTGAAAACACCGGTAATTCGCATCATGGTGAGCGGGGTGGCATCGGCGTTTTTCAAGATTTTTCTCATAAATGCGAACTAGATTTCTTCAGAAAGTCATCTGACTCACCATCAGACTGTAAGGCGTATTTTAATTTTGAAACCCTTTTCTTTCAATTCATGTTTCCCACTTACAACTCCATACCAGAATGAGTTTGTAGAATCGCGTTGAATACAAATGAGTTAGAAAAAGTATTTAAAGAAAGTTCAACTTACTTCGAAAGAGAGTGCTCAGGGGTTTTTAGTGGCGAGTGTTTTCTTTCTGGCTACTTCATTCTCGAATCTATTACACTCGGTCGTATTGTATGTGCCTGTTGCGAATCGCAGGCTAATTTAATTTAAGAGCCAACTACGTTAGGTATTTGTGTCTGGCTTCGGCTAAGTCTATTTAGTTTAGTATTAGGTAAGTTTCTTGTTTTATTATCCTGATTTAAAATTCCAAGTGGAGGCTTTCCTATAAGCCCGAGAAGGGGCCATCTGTTATTATTTCTTTGAATAAAAGGGTATTTTAACCTTTCTCACGTCTCTGTATACCTCTATTGGAACTCAGCGATAATTTGTTGCTTAGTTCATAATGTTCCTCGACGTTATATCTAGACAAACTATCGAGGAACATTATAAAGTATTAAAATACAACAAAATTTTGGGTGTTGTTCTAAAAGTAAATAACCGCGACCAATGTCTTAATATTGCTACTCGCTACGGCATACAAAGACCTGTTTAATAATGACTCCAGGTGAGTAGGAGGAACTGGCGTTTTATTGAAAGAAATCCCATCTCATACCAGCAAGGTAAATCCTAGAAACAGCTTATTACGTATTTCCAGCGTCATTCTGACTAGAGGGCGCTGCGTTCGTCCTAATAGTCAGTGGCAGGCAGGATACTAAAGGTGTAAGACGTGGAAGGCAGAGATGCCTAATAATATATCTCTAATTGATTGAAATTTCGTATATTTTTCTTGTAAATAAATGTTGTTTGTTAACAAAACCTCTTATTATCTCTTGGATGCACCTTTTAGTCTCACAGAACCATTAGATGCAAAATTGGTGCATCTTGTCCGCGAATGTGGAATACCGGAAGCAATTAGTCCTCATTACTGGAAACATTTGTCCCAACCAGAGTAGCTCAAATGCAGTCGCGATCTACCAGATGTTGGAACCATTGCAGTGGCTCCGACAATCCCGCAGACCTTACTACTAGAGGAGAATCGGCTAGGAGGATTCTTACAAGTTCTCTGTGGTGGTCAGGCCCTGTTTGGTTGTCTAAACCGCTTTACTCATGGCCTCTTTAAGAATCGCTACATCATTTTAATGACATCTGTGATGAACGGGTTATAGTGAAAGAGCGACGGACCGCACTGGTTAATTCCATGGTACCCAGTTCAACTAATGGAAACTTACCTATGTCGTCGTTACTGGACGTTAATGACTTAAGCGAATTAAGTAGATTACTGCGTGGATTAAAAGGTTTGTGCGCAATTCTAAACCTAATTCTACAAAATAAAATGGACCTATGTGTGCTCCAGAACTCGAGCAAGCTTTGCGTTTTTGGATCAAGCTACTCAATTCAAGCATTATAGTACAGAAGTTACCCAACTTCTTTCTAAAGGCACTATCGATAAGAGTTCACGCACATTTAATTTGAATCCTGAGCTTGATGATAACAACTTACTTTGTTTAAAGGGACGTTTACATTTTCAAGTAACGATATGCGAGCCAAACATCCTTGGCTCTTCCATCTAATGATAAATTTGTTGAACTACTTATCTGTGATTCTCATACTAAATTGCCATTTAGGTGTTGATGCAACTTTAAACACATTTACGAGAACAATTCTGGATGTTAAAGGTCGTCAATTTGTGAAAAAAGTGTTAAATAACTGTCTGATTGTAGACGATTCAAAGTGAAATCTGGAATGCAGGTGGTTGCCCCTTTACCGACTGCTAGAATTCAAGAGCATCCACCATTTGATGTATGCGGTGTGGATTTTGCCGGACCATTTTTTGTTCGTGATTTTAATTCAAGTGTTATTTACTTATATTCAGCTGTGCAGTGACAAGAGCTATCCATTAGAAGTAGTTCTTACATAAGTGCTGATTCTTTTTTGTTAGGATTCCGACGATTGTTTCTCATCGAGGATTATGTTCCACTATATATTCTGATAATGCCAAAGCTTTTAAAAAAGCAATAGTGAATTGAAAAAATGGTGGAATCAGATAGATAATGATCAAGTTAAAAATTTGTTTGCTTCTAAAGGTATAGTTTGGAATTTATAGTTGAAAAAGTCCATGGTGGGAGGTTTCTGGGAGAGAGATACGGACGATACAACCAAACCTGCTTAAAGAAAATTGTTGGACGAATCCTCTCTTTCTTGAAGGAATTGGAAACTGTTTTTCGGAATTGAAGCTCGGTTAATTCCAGGCCTATCACGTATCTGTACAACGAACCCTCAGAACCCTCTCCACTCACCCCATCTCATTTTCTTATTGGTAAAAGATTGGGTCTTTACCTGTAATAAAACAAAAAATGAAAATTTAATGTTAATAGAATTCTTTGGTAAAGAAATATAAATATCAGCAAACACTTTTGAATCACTTCTGGAACAGGTGGGAAAAGGAATATTTACTTATCTAAGATCAGCTTATATTTCTCCACAACCAGGTAAAATAGTTTTTCATTTAAAGTGATGATATTGTTTTGATTAATATGAGCGTTATCCCAGAAATATGTGGATGATGGTAAAAGTTTTAGAGCTATATCCAGGAAGAGATGGAAAAGTTCGTTCTCTTCTTATTCGACTCCTAAGGACAAATAAAACGCTCAGTATACTTGTGTATAATTTGGAAATAATCCTTAATTGTGTTAATTTTAATTGAGTTGCAACCTGTTAATGTTCTATCTGTGTATTAATGACAGTTTAATTGTGCTTATATTTTAATGCTTGATATTTGAACAATTTTCTTTGGAAGTTAAAAGTGTAATTGTTTTTGTGTGTCAAGTGATTGAATAATTTTGAAGCTTTGTATTTGATATAATATGCTATTTATATTTTTATTCTGTAATTTAAATGGTTCCTGAATGTAAATTTAGTTGAAATTCAATGTAAGTGAACTCAAGTGAGTTCAGGTGGGGAGTATTACGTATTTTCCAGCGTCATTCTGACTAGAGGGCGCTGCGTTCTTCGTCTAATAGTCAGTGGCAGGCAGGATACTAAGGTGTAAGACTGAAGGCAGAGATGCCTAATAATATATCTCTAATTGATTGAAATTTTCGTATATTTTCTTGTAAATAAATGTTGTTATTGTTAACAAAACCTCTTATTATCTCTTGGATGCACCTTTAGTCTCACAGAACCATTAGATGCAAAACAGCTCAAAGAGAATAGTAATGAAAAAGCAAAATCTCCTCAACATGTAAGAAATGTTGCAGACACCAAAATCAGTCCTAATTAAGGAAAAGTTAAGAGAGGTAACCAACAAACAAGAGCTCAGTACAGTTGCGCGATTAGGAACTGAGTAATTGAACTGACTGGTTTTTGGCTTCATATTTATAGGGATGTTCAAGTACTTCTCGAAGTTGAGAAAACTGGCTCCTAGCATTGCCAAAATATGTTAATGGCGTCCGATTTGCAAGAAATTGCCAGCTGTCCTCAGGGCCTATCAGGAGCGTTTCTGCTCATATCTCCAATTCTCAGTGAGCTAGCTATCTGTACAATTCAAACACCGATCGATTTCGAATTACAAGATTTACAATATCTTGTATGAAATAAAAGATTTTAAAAAATACATAACGCTATAAAAAACGTAAAAAAAAACAAAATGCAATCCAATCAGCCAGATATTGATATAAATTTACAACAATTCAGGATGTGAGCTTTTGGGTTTTTAAAGAGATTTAATATTCATAATTTTTAGCTGAAAAGACTAGCTTATGAAATAATTATTTTTCTTATTTAAATTATCTTGCGTTCTGAAACGATACAGTTTATATATTTTAAGTCGTATACTACTTTTCCTTTTGCAGCTACTGTAGTTGTTGCTCCATTACCACCATTCGGTGACAGTCCTGTGCAAGTAACATGTGGCAATTGCCGTCAGACAGTTATGACTACAACCATTGCTGAAAACGGAGCCTGTGCTTGGCTTGCCGCTGCAATCGTTTGCTTCATTTTGTAAGTATGCACATTTTATTCCTTTATTTTATTTTCAATGAATACTGTAGCACAAGTTTAATATCGGTGACTGAAATTATTGAGCTGGAAAAAAAAAGAGAGATGCTTTTTTAGATTGTTTATTCAAGAAAGCACGCAAGAGTTTAATGGCGTAAGGTACCAACAAGGAAAGCTATCGGAATTCCGATGAGACGAAACTTTCAATGATGATCAAACATTTGAGCAACAGGTAAAATAAAATGTGCGTATAAGTCTAAAATTTTGTCATAGCCTGCAGACTCCAAAACAGGGCGTATAAAGTACATGCGCAACTGCAATATTTGCAGCCATAAACTAATAAACTTTACTGTATCTGGAAAGGTTTGAGGTAGTCGGTCTTCAGTGAATTCCATGTTATTATATGCCTTCTAGAATTAATATATATATATATATGCTGACCAATTCTTCTGTCATTTTACCACTTATCTCAAAAGTCGTGACAATTTGCCACAGGTGACAGCAGGATCCGGACACCCGGGCTTCTTTCACTGACTATTCGGGTATCGTCCGAATCCCGCAACTGTTCAGAAAAAGAATATTGCAAACAAGGGCAGATGGGTGAAAACAAGGGTATTGCGGATTCCTACAATAACAATGCTTATTATACAATATAAAGATGCTTACATCAAAAAGTGTTGTTACTATGTTGAATTATCACAATAGTAATACATCGTATTACATTATACATTAATAATGCACTATTATAATAGTCGACGCAGGGGCGATAAATTAATACGTATAATAAATAAAATTTCCTGAACTCTACAGACATTGCAGAGCGGTATCAATGCGCATTGTTAACCTATAGCTATTGAGAACCACTCATTTGAAAATTCAAATCGTAGAAGTCTGAAATGGATAAATAGTAATCGTGCCAGCAGTTGAAGGCACATTTCTGCAAACATTCTGATTGAAGACCTTGGAATTACTATAATGCTTATTATGTCTCTCGCTTTGTCTATGATAAAATGTCGAGGAACCTAGTGAACCGTGAAGTGGATTATCTCTGAGTTCAAGCACTAACAATGTAGACACGAGAAGGGCTAATAAATAGCCTTTTATTCACTCAGAGAAATAATAACAGTTGGCCCCCTTCTCTGATTTACAGGAAAGCCTCTATTCGTGCTTTTAAATCGGGATAAAAAATAAGAAACTAATCTAAAACTAACTAAAATATATTTAGTCGAAGCTAGACACAAACATCTAACGTAGTTGGTCCTTAAATTAAACTAGCCGGCGATTATCAACAAGCACGCACAATACAGCCGAGTCTAACAGCTTCAAGGATGAATGAGCCAGGAAAGCAAACACGCGCCACTAAGGACTCCTAAGCACTCTTTATATTGAAATAAGTAGGACTTGCTTTAAATACTACTTCTAACTCATTTGCATTGAACGCGATTCTAAAAACTCATTCTGGTAGGGAGTTTCCTTTTCCATTCCTTGATACTGCTACTGAACTTTTCGCACAAGCCAGGTTTTGAAGAAGGTGGTTGCATTATTTCCAAATTGAATAAAGTTACGTTGGATTAAAGTCGTAATACATTATATTTCGCTGGACCTTTTTTAACCTGTTTCGGTATGGATCACAAACACAAGAAGATAAAAGCAACAGTCTTGACGCGAACTTTCTGCAAAAGATTTCAATGACACGAGAATTTCCTCGAAGGCTATTTTCCTACCGGCTAGTAAAAAATGTTATCATTTAAACCTTGATGGCATACTGAAACATAAAGACACAGTTAAAGTCGTGGGCGATATTAATATTTTCTTTTAAATTTTAAAGCGAACACAGATAAAGTAGCGTAGTAGACGTCTGTTCTAGATCACATTTGAGCCTGCTGTATATCGTATGACAATAGGATGGACAAAAGAGACGGGTATACGGCGATATTTTCACGAGACAGCAGGAAAGAACAAGAATGCGACATGTTCAAGATGAAAGTTAAGTTAAAAGTGATTTGAGTTACGCTTCATTAATAACTTAGTTTCGGTTTGTTTTATCTTGATTGGTTAACACTTAAGCTTCTAAAAACTATTATTGGCTGATGTTTTTATGTAAACATGAACCTTGTAAGAAACAAACTAACCCAAATAGGTTTCCTCCCTCGAGCTGTCACCTTGATCACATCCGAAGGAGTAGGGACGACTTGCAGAAATGTAACAGTGGTTGCCTATTGCAGCGTGTATAATAGTCAAGAAAAAGCTAGTTGTAGCGCCTCATTTCACAAATTAGAATTTCTTCATATTTTTATTTTCGAACGGCATCTGGACGGCTGAATTTCGAATTTGTTTTAATCTATTTCATATTTTGTAAAACTTTAATGAATTTTTTATTAACAAACTCAACGAGTTCAGAGACACTGTACAAAAATAACAGTTTATCTCCAGTGCGAAAATTCTAAAGATATGCTGTTTCAAAATTATGTGGTTTACGGGGCGAAGAACATGATATTCATCAAATATAGGTAACACACAAAACATTAAAAAAAGATTCTTTTTGGGTGTAATATAATATCTGAGTGATTCTAAATTGTATTTTACCTTTTTTTCCCCCCTTCATTACACTCAGAAAATGTTATTCTCCGAATTTTATAAATTACTAAAAGAAATATTCCACTTTAATGTTAATAAGTTAAAGATGATATAATCAAATAAGTGATTGTTTTGTAATGTTATTATAGTTTTGAAAATCACTGCCTGAAAATAGTCATTAAAATTTTTTAAAAAGTTATCAGACCTTGTTAATTTTACCTTATTTATTTCAAAGTATCACGTACTATCAATCTTATTTAATTTTATGTTATTTGTACGCAAAATTAAGTTCATGCCTAGAATTTTTACCATTTTACCAGAGTAAAGATGTTTGTACAAGAATTACGCGTGAAAAAAATGCGCGAAAATCAGTAAAAAGTGCTTTAATGAGATATATTAAATCCTATTTGGAAAAAACTGTGGCTTTTATAATCTCATCACTATACAACGTATCACATTTAATAATTAAAAAGAGTTGTGTGATACAAACGCCATAGGTTTCAGTGTTAAAGTAAACCAGATCGCCCCTACTCTTTCTTGCCGACATGTCGAAGACGCGCGCCCCGCCCACTGGGTTAGTCTATCTCTTATAAGGTCCATTTATGTAAGTTATCTGCGTCATGAGCTTCATCTAAGAATCATTTGATATTATTAATTTTGAAGAAACGCAGATTAGCCCTTTCTTGGTCGGATTTTGTTTTCGAATTTCTGACCCAAAGAAAGCATTTTTTATTGCTGAAAATTAATATATGTTGTATCCTAAATTTGAAAATGCAAAATAAGTCTTTTTTACAGTAAGTAGTTTTTGCTAAACTTACGGGTGGTCAAATATGTGATATCCCGTCCCACTGATCACCAGTTTTCCCTGCAATACACCCAACTTTTAAATAAAAAAAAAAACTACAGTGTGATACTATATTTATTACCTCTGTTTTGATGTGTTTAATATAAATATCTGCATAAAAATAATTATTAAAATTGCACAAAAAACGCTTTAGAAAATGGTTTTTCAACCTTACTGTTAAAACAGCTTTACAATCTGCCTTGAACATCAGAGCATAAAAACCGCATTTATCGCAAAACCAAAATCATTTGTTTAATAAAAGAAAAAAAATTGTTCGGCTTGCTTTATCAAAAAATCTGATGTGTACACCACATGACTTCCTTGTACGGAATATTAAATTATACGCATTTTTCTTGCATTTCATTTAAACTTATTAGATTGAATTAAACCTACTTCGCCGACACCGCATAAACCACAATTGAATAAATGCATTCTTTAAATTCACTTGTTTACCATAGCGACACTCTGGCGCTAGGTTCACTTAACAGTATTATATTTCGTTCATATTATAACTCAGAAAGCACAAAATTTATATCATTTAAAGAATTATCTAATAGTTGCCACATGTTCTGTTCAAATACTACACTGACTACCAATAAGTATTTGGACACCTATGCAAATGACGATATCTCCGATCCTAAGGTACGTCACGGACCTCCGGTATATATCGTGTAGGAAACAGCATCGGCTTTAGTCGCAGGCAGAATTCCTCTCAATTCGGAGATCTCTGATTTCGAGAAAGGTATAATTATCAGGTATCACAAATGTGGCCGATCCTTAAGGGACATATTTAGCTATCTGAAGTACCCAAAATCGACAGTGACCTATGTGATTAAGAAGTGGAAGGTGAGTGGTGTTGTCGGAATGTGCCACGGAGTCGGCAGACCAACGAAACTGGGAGATTATGGACCGACGAGTGCTGTCCAGAGAAATTCGGAAGAACCGCACCCAACCGATGGTCCTCATCCGCGAGGAGTTTCAACAGGAATCCAGGAGTATTGTTTCAATGAATACCATCCGTAAGGAAGCACATCTGCTTGTTTTCATGGTCGTGCTGCTGCCCATAAGCCTTTGATCACAAAGTCCAAGCGCGCTGCTCGGTTAATGTGGTGCAAAGCACATCTAAATTGGACTGTAGATCAGTGGAAACGGGTTCTTTGGAGTGACGAATCAAGGTTCACCCTTTACCGTTCGGATGGCAGGGTCTGCGTATGGCGTTTACCTGGAGAACGTGTCCTGCCAGAATGCATTGTGCCAACAGTCAAGTTCGGAGAAGGTGGAATTCTGGCATGGTTTCCAAATCAACACATTTAATACCGTAAGATCTCCAATACGTAAGGACATGAGTAATGTAAGCAACACTTACTAAAAGAGAAAGCTTTATTGAAAAGGTAGCATGGAGCGCAATGCGACTGAAGGCCGAAACATCCCTGTGATGGGTGTCCAGCAAGAAACATCCGGTCTTTAATAGGGGATATGATCTCCCCAGACTGCTAGGCAGGTTTCAGAGCGTCTGCCCATGCTGAGAATGAGGGTGTCAATGAGTTGTTATGGCATTGCTGCCCATTCGTCTTGCAGCGCC